GCTACAATATATTATTGTGTTGCCAAGTTTAATCGGTTAGATAATTTAAAAAGTGAAATTGAGTTGTGATTGGTACGCTCAACTTCCCAGCGTAGACACCTGATTGGATAAAAAGCCAACCAAGGCCAGTTATACAATCATCCAGGGTACATCCAGGGTATAGTGGAGATTTATCAGAACCTACACCCTGGAGATTATCGAGGATGTAGTACCGGTCGCCAGTCGAAACTCGTTACGAAGGTCTCGTTAGGAAGTGGTATGGGACAGGTCTTTTTCTATGGTACTGTATTACTCTGGTGGTATTTAGCTAAATATTTTGGCTAGGGTTTTTCAGTAAACCGGGGATAACCAATTATCCCGTGATTGTGTAGTTTAGGTCAAGTACCTTTTTACAATGGGGAGTCAAGCTACTCTTTCGATCAAGCACGTTTCTTAATGCATGTGCATGAAGATAATCCGTAGGCCAAAAAAACTCGTTTTGTTGAGCAGTTTGGAATTTCCCTCCCCAGTCAGTTTTACTATTCACGCAGTTTTCTTCATTGGTATTTTCCACAAGGTGTATCCTAGGGATAGGCCCTCAGTGTCTATTTCCCCATATTGAACCCAGCACAGGTTATTCGAATAGATTTGAATTGATTGTTGTTTAACGCCGAACTCAGCAATATTCCGCTATATAACGGCAGTCTGTAAATAATCGAGTCTGGACCAGACAATCCAGTGATTGAGCATCAGTCTACGTACCTTTTGTATTTACTCTTATTTACAGTACAACCAGATTTTATTGAGAATTTAAAGATTGTATTTTTTTATATTTTTATATAAATGTGAATATTAGCAGAACATAACTCCAGATTCAAAGACAGGTGAACAGTTAAGATTTTGTCAAGTCACCATGGGCAGCAATGCACAGGTTTCAATGCGGCGGGGCATACTACTGATCAAAGAAGTTAGAAAGTCGTGGTCCATGCTGTCCCAATATCGGACCACCTCTTCTTTCATTTCAGCAATATTTGTCAGATTTTTCTTATTGACACTTTCCTTCATAAGTCCCCAAACATTTTCTATTGGATTTAGGTCAGGGCTATAGCTTGGCCAATCTAATAATGTCATATTTTGGGTCTGAAACCAGGCCTGTGAATGCTTTGAACGATGTTTTGGGTCGTTGTCTTGCTGGAAAATCCATCAATTTCCATAGAACACGTGAACAGATGGAAGTAAATGTCCCTCGAGAATATCTGTGTACCGCTCACTGTTCATATTCGCTTCAAATACACAGAGGGGCGTTGCCCCTAACACAGATATGACACCCCACACGTTAAATTTCGGACTGTATTTTGGGCGCTGACACAAAGGTTTTTCAGTTTGTTTGGTCCAGAATTTCAGTGTATTAGGAAACAGCCACACAGAACTTTCATCTGAGAAAATCACATTGTCCCAGTTAAAATTTCTATGCTGTAAGCACCAGTTCAACCTTCGCTCCTTTTGTTTTGGTTTCATGATCAGTGATGGAATTCCTCAACTTTTCTGCCAACCCATTGCATGCAGCTCAGTTCTAATTGTCTCCTTACAGACAACCACAGTTCCTCTATCAATCATATCCAGCCTTAAGTTTTCTAAATTTCCTTCGTTTGTTGTTAGAAACAAGAACACCAAGCCGCCTCCTGTCACCGACAGTCACTTTTCTGGGCCTACCTGCGCCTCCCTGGTGCTCAATGCCATATCCATTTGCAATATTTTTCAAAACACGATAAACAGTGGACAAAGGGATGCCTGTTCTACTTGAAATCAATTTAGCTGATCTCATGTCCTTGTTATTATACTCTAAAATCAACTTCCTCTCCTCTAAATCATCCATACTGAGGATCGCTGAAAATGTCGTCTGCTCGCAAGTAAACAAAGGAGGATAACTCTTCACAAACTAATGAAAAAAGATAAACGGAGTTGTCTCTCTTGAATGAAACCAAGCACTTGATAGCTGGTCAAGGTTGTTTATACTAGAAATCCAATTCAACATATTCCTAAAATTCTTAAAAATTCCTGGTCCTAGTGTATATGATCAGTGATCATTGTCGTAAATTGGTAAATTGGGTTTGGTGGTTTTACATTGACGGTTATATATTGACTCAAACGGCCAAAAAACCTGTGATTTTTTGCACAGTAGTGAACGCTTTGGTCCCGCGGCGGATCTGCTCTGTGTGTGTCTCTGTTGCAGAGTGTGAAAAGAAAATGTCTTCAGAAACCCTTATTTGACAAAACGTTATGTGTTTTCTAGCTGTTGATTACTGGCTTCCGGTCTACCTATCGCGTTGTCGGCAGAAAAATGATATATACACAAGCCTTACGTACAGTTGGATTGTAATGATTGTGTAGATTTCATATGAAAATGTTCACACGCAAGTGCGTGTGTGGGAACAATGTTACTAGAATGTTCACACGGTTGTATGTTTCAGTTCGACAGGGCAGATTTCGCCTCGGTTTTTTTCTGACGTTCAATGGTCACATCTATATTGAAGTTCTGGTGGGAACGGTATCTGCTGAATCTTCACACACAAGCAATTGCCGTTATAAATGTATTTCTATTTAAAGGTGATGACGTCATCATGAGCATCAAGTCGTCGGTGGATAATCTATTGAACTTGTCCTCGTCGTTAGCAGGTGCGTGAAGAGTTCTTTGTCCTGTAAGCAGGTGCGTGAATAGTTCTTGTCCTGTAAGCAGGTGCGTGAATAGTTCTTTGTCCTGTAAGCAGGTGCGTCAATGGAGTTTGTACTGTAATCAGGTGCGTGAATAGTTCTTTGTCCTGTGGAAGTCTTTGTCCTGTAAACAGGTGCGTCAACGGAGCTTTGTTCTGTAAGCAGGTGCGTCAATTGAGCTTTGTCCTGTAAGCAGGTGCATGAATGGAGCTTTGTCCTGTAATTAGGTCCGTGAATAGTTGTTTGTCCTATAGGCAAGTGCGTGAATAGTTATTTGTCCTGTTAGCAGGTGCGTGAATAGTTCTTTGTCCTGTAAGCAGGTGCGTCAATGGAGTTTGTACTGTAATCAGGTGCGTGAATAGTTCTTTGTCCTGTAAGCAGGTGCGTCAATGGAGCTTTGTTCTGTAAGCAGGTGCGTCAATTGAGCTTTTTCCTGTAAGCAGGTGCATGAATGGAGCTTTGTCCTGTAATTAGGTCCGTGAATAGTTGTTTGTCCTATAGGCAAGTGCGTGAATAGTTATCTGTCCTGTAAGCAGGTGCGTCAATGGAGCTTTGTCCTGAAAGCAGGTGCGTGAATAGTTCTTATCCTATAGGCAGGTGCGTGAATAGATTTTTGTCCTGTAAGCAGGTGCGTGAATGGAGCTTTGTCCTGTAAGCAGGTGCGTGAATGGAGCTTTTTTCTGTAATCAGGTGCGTAAATAGTTGTTTGTCCTGTAATCAGGTGCGTGAATAGTTCTTTGTCCTGTGAACAGGTGCGTTAATAGTTCTTTGTCTTGTAAGCAGGTGCGTGAATTGAGCTTTGTTCTGTAAGCAGGTGCGTAAATAGTTCTTTGTCCTGTAATCAGGTGCGTGAATAGTTCTTTGTCCTGTGAACAGGTGCGTTAATAGTTCTTTGTCCTGTAAGCAGGTGCGTCAATGGAGCTGCTTTGTCCTGTAAGTAGGTCCATGAATAGTTGTTTGTCCTGTAAGCAGGTGCGTGAATAGTTCTTTGAGCTGTGAGCAGGTGCGTCAATGGAGCTGCTTTGTCCTGTAAGTAGGTCCGTGAATAGTTGTTTGTGTTGTAGGCAAGTGCGTGAATAGTTATTTGTCCTGAAAGCAGGTACGTCAATAGAGCTTTGTCCTGAAAACGGGTGCATGAATAGTTCTTTGTCCTGTAGGCAGATGCGTGAATGGAGCTTTGTCCTGTAAGCAGGTTCGTGAACGGAGCTTTGTCCTGTTAGTAGGTTCGTGAATGGCTCTGTCTCCTGTAAGCAGGTGCGTGAAAAGTTCTTTGTCCTGTAAGCAGGTGCATGAATGGAGCTTTGTCCTGTAAGCAGGTGCGTGAATGGAGCTTTGTCCTGTAAGCAGGTGCGTCAATAGAGCTTTGTCCTGTAAGTAGGTGCGTCAATAGTTCTTTGTCCTGTAAGCAGGTGCGTCAATGGAGCTTTGTCCTGTAAGCAGGTGCGTGAATAGGCCTTTGTCCTAGAAGCAGGTGCGTCAATGGAGCTTTTGTCCTGGAGACAGGTGCGTCAATGGAGCTTTGCCCTGTAAGCAGGTGCGTGAATAGTTCTTTGTCTATTGGCAGGTGCGTGAATAGATTTTTGTCCTGTAAGCAGGTGCGTCAATGGAGCTTTGTCCTGTAAGCAGGTGCGTCAATGGTGCTTTGTCCTGTTAGCAGGTGCGTCAATGGAGCTTTGTCCTGTAAGCAGGTGAGTTGCTTCCCCATGTATGTTACCCTAGGAACAAGATTGGTCTTTTATGATATTACACGCCCATGTCACTCTGAAGCATTTAAGCCAATTCATCCTAGTCTGAGTTATAGATGTGACATATTCTCGATCGGCAGTTCAAGTTAAAATCGTTTGTATAATTATCATGTAAACTGAGATCCTTCCTTTAACGTTTAACACATCCGACGGTAGATTGTACCATAGAGTTATGAAAGTTGGAATAAATGTTCAGTTCTGAAATGTCTTGTATGTTGTTTTGAAATCACCCAGTGAAAAAAATGATACATACTGAAAACAAAAGTAGTTCTAAAGCTGACCCCTGATGTACGCCTGCATTGGAAATGTCTTGAATTAGTGCCCTTGAATCATATTTGTGGTCATATTTTGCTGTGTGAGTTCTGAAGTTAATTGTTTTCCCATATGATTGCATGATATGACAGCATAAATTATATTGTAATTGTATGTGCCATACATAATTTCCATGTTATTTGTATGTTATTGTACATTATGTGTCATACATAAAGTCCATGTTATTCGTTCGATATTTGTCAGGAGTTATCACGTATAACATCAGTGTTTATAATTTCTTTTACAGATGATGTGTCACACATAAAAACAATGGTGAAAGAGAATCAGAAATGTATTCCTGAGATGAAAGGTAACACACTGGATGTAGAGTTCTGCGGATGTCTCTCAATAAATTTGGAAACCTTCCCAAGCAAAAAGGCTAAGGTATCCTTTAAATGTGTGAGGGTCAGTTGGGTAGCCTAGTGCTTCCACCTTTAGATCGTCACGCTGAAGACTGGGTTCGATTCCCCACATGAGTACATTGTGTGAAGCCCGTTTCTAGTGTCCGTGTTATTGTTGGAATATTGCTGAAAGCGGCGCATACAATGTATGTGATTATATGCAGCTCTGGAGTTGTTGGTATGGATGTAGGAGCATAGTTCGTAAATGGCAAGACCTATCATAAATAATAAAGTGACAAATTGTTTACTTTCTTGGCTTACATGAAGGGCTTAACGGGGCTAACATCTGCTTTGTACTTTCATATCGTATTAAGCTGTGAAGCCCAACTGCACTGTAATATTGCATCATTCGGGTAAACAACTCTGTTAAAAGTCCACCTCATTGTATGTTAGCACGACAGCACCAAGCAATCATTAACTTTTGAGCAAACATGTTTCTCCAGTTTTGCAAAGGGCGATGAATGGCATTGTTTATATTCTCTCCCAAAAAAGAAACGCATCATGAAATTAGCAATTTCATGTAGCAATGAATTAAAACGTGATTCATTTTACAAAAGGTTTTGCTCTGTTTAATGAGTCCTATGGTGTTTATGTTTTGAAACATCACAACAAAACGCACCATCCTTAAAATACCCGCATTTAACAGCATGATTTTCAATTTCGGCGTGTAGTGTCACAGAATACACAATTCACATGCAATGCATGTGAACGTTGGGGATCCGATAGTCTCAATGATGGGAATAAAAGGTTGATCGCTGTCTGTCGATTATTCACTGTATTTGGAATATTGTTGACGAACGCAAAATGCCACGTCTAAGTGAAGCCAACCGTCATATCGCCATTGGTTTGCTTGAAGCTGGCCAGTCTCAACGTGCAGTTGCCCGACGCATGAATGTTCACCAAAGCACCATTTCACGGCTCTGGGAGAGATATCGCCGGAAGAATGCGGTAGCAGATGCCCCTCGTAGTGGGCGACCTCGAGCGACCACTGCGGCGCAGGATCGCTACATCCGGGTACATCACCTGCGTCATCGAACAGCTACGGCGACCAGTACCGCTCGACAAATACCCGGATTAAGGAGGCTTTCTGCACAGACCGTCAGGAACAGGTTGAGAGAGGCTGGTTTACGTGCCAGAAGACCTTATTTTGGCCATGTGCTTCGGCAACAACATCGTCGACATCGAGTTCAATGGTGCACCAACGTTCAGGCCTGGAACCTACCGAATTGGCGTAGAATCTGGTTCAGTGATGAATAGCGATTTCTATTGGAACGACGCGATGGCAGAATGCGGGTGTGCAGACGTCGACGTGAACGTTTCGCCGACGCTTGCGTTCCCAAGGTGGACAGATTCGGCCGGGGCAGTGTTATGATGTGGGGAAAAATAACCTGCCGTAGGAGAAGTGATTTGGTGTTGATCCAGGGCAACCTGACAGCTCAACGGTACTGTGACAAAATCCTACGCTCACACCTCCTTCCAATCATTGATCGCCAGAGGGAGTTGTTTCAACAGGACAATGCCAGGCCCCAAACAGCATGTCGCACTAGAGACTTCCCCCCAGAACCACAACATCAATGTGCTCCCCTGGCCCTCAAGATCACCGGACCGATCGAACATCTGTGGGATGCCCTGGACAGACGGGTGCGACGCCGTAACCCTCAGCCCCAGACACTTCAGTAACTCGCACAGGCACTACAGGCAGAGTGGGCTGCGTTTGGGCAACACGAGATTCTGAGATTTATTCGTTCGATGCCGAGGCGATGCCGTGCAGTTCTGGATGCCCACGGTGGTCACACGAGGTATTGACTTCAGCGCCACCACACGTCTCCATGTGACACTCAAACTGACTATCATTCAGTTGGTGCCACAGACGGATAACTCTGCATTCCCAGTGTGCAATTTCGCTATATTTCATTGACTCATAAAGCCTACAAGATGTTACAAAATAAACATAAAAATACAGTTGAAATTCCTATATGCGTTTCTTTTTTGGGAGAGTATATTTGTGCATTTCTGATTTCGCTATGGCAGTGGGTAGTGTTACCGTGTATAGGTAGAAACGTTTTTGAGAGGTATCCAGAAGAGGACAAGTTATACATTGTTGAAAATATTCGGGCATATTTAGGCAGGACTTGGCTCATTAGGGGCATGGAAAACTGTGTCATGAGCTTCAACGGCCACAAAAAGCTGTGTTCAAAGCGCCATCAGTGTGTGACCGAGGTATCGAGATGTATGGTGCCGTTCCACACCACGGTGAGAGATCAGGTTGGGACTCAAACGTCGACGTTAATAAGACTGTAAGCGTCAAAACGAACGTAAAGTCAAACCTGAGATCTCATGGCAGATGTTTTGCTTGTTGTGTAACGCCGCACTCATCAATACTCCTGTCTATATTGGGACAGTCTGTAAATAGGTCTGGATAAGATAATCCAGAGATCAACAGCATGAACATCGACCTTCGCATTTGGGATACGATGACATGTGTCAAGCAAGTCAGCGAGACAGACCACGCGATGCCATTAGTCTACGACAAGCATGGGTTGCTGAAGATCAATTCCAACCCGTATCTTCACGGGTTCATGACAGAATCCCCAGGGCCGGTGGGGTAGCATAGTGGTTAAAGCGTTGGCTCGGGTTCGATTCCCCATATGGGTGGAGAGTGCGAAGCCAATTTCTGGTGTCCCCTGCCGTTATTTGCTGGAATAGTGCTTAAAGCGGCGTAAATCCCAACTCACTCACACTCACTCTTAGAATCCAGGATCGAACTCAACCTAACAAAAATACTAGAACGTGTACTTTACAGGGAAAGAGTAATCCCATGTATACCATATATTACATCTGATCACTTTCAATATGTGTCCGAGAATAGCCACTCCCAAATATCTGCATAAACATATAACGTAAGCCGTAAAAGGTAAAACAGTGATTGACATGCTGTCAATGAACATCAGTGATGACACCCGGTGTTCGTCAAAATGGGAAGCAAAATTTTAACATGTGTTTGTCTTATCCAGTATGCGTCTACAAAACTATGGTGTATACTGGGGATGTCGATGGAGCCGGGACGGATGGGAATGTCATGGTACAACTGATTGGGGAGAAGGGTGCGTCCAAGGAACAGTACCCCGACAGTGCACGGAACGATTTCGAGAGAGGAGCGTAAGTTCAGTATGCAAGTTACTGGATACGATTATTGCCAACACAATGTCGACATACAATATACTCCATTGTGCAGTGTGTGTTTCTGACAGTTTCTTCATGCACATCGGGGTATGTCAGTAACCGTATGTGTGAAACAAATCTGTATATTTAGGTTCTTGTATGACTGTGCGTGTACCACTTTGACTTTCTGGTCCTGCACAAGTAGGTATATGTAGAATCGTATTGTCTTCCAGTGTGGAAGTGTTTGACCTTGACCTTCTGTTTATGTACATCCGGGTATATGTAACACAGTGTGTGACCTACATTACAGATAGAATTGGAGACCAAATTGTTTACAGTATGTCAATTTACCATCGCCATCAACGGTGAAAGCAAGACACTTGCCTTTTTAGTAGCCGATGACTGTGTGTCAATAGGTGTTCACACACTGAGATGTGTACGTAGACTTGATTTCCTTCGTTCCACACACAGTGCAGCCATAAATGTTTATGTGTTGCTAAAATGTTCTCGAAAAATATCATTGTTGTGTTTTAAGGCGGTGTGTTGATAGTGTTTGAACACTAGCGTGTCTACCGGGCAGGAGATATTGTTAACGTGAAGATCAGAACATGTCCCAGGAAAGGTATGGTGGTTAGAACTGATCTCTAGCAACCCATGCTTGTCGTAAGAGGCGACTAAAGGGATCAGGTTTTCAGGTTCACTGACTTGGTTAACACTTGTCATCGTAACCTAAATGCATAGGTCAAAGCTTATGTTGTTGATCACAGGATTGTCTAGTATACTCGAATATCTACAGACGAACACCATATAGCTGGAATATTGTAGAGGCTGGCGTTAAGCGACACACACATATAAACAAGCAGGACACTACTGCGATTTCTGAACAGATTTTATCATATAATATTGACTATTACACAAGCTGTCAGCAACGTTTATCATTCTAAACGATGATTGGGGTCACATATGGAATTTGCGCGATATTTGCCAGGCTGCTCAAAACAAAAGGTTATGTTTTCACTCATTAACTAATCCAACTGTGTGGACACAGATGACACGAGCACACATCCACTTGGTATCTTCGTGATATGCGGATGCAGTGTTAAAAGGCAAAGTAAGGCTGCTGGAATAATCCATTAGTCTGAGTAATAAGTACGAGTTAACTGTATTGTGTAGATTAGCAATAATTTGTGTGCAGAGCTGACCCATTCTTTCTGGAACTGACGCCACTCGGCACTTTGACAGAAGCCAAAGTCAATCGTACTTCGCAAAAACCGTGGTTCCTGGAAAAGGTAAGGACGTGTTGACGTCTCCTCATTCCTTCTCATCAAAGCCTTGCCCCACAGCATTATACTACTAGACGTTTGATAGGGATATGCCTCTGGTCAGTCATGTGACACGTGTTAGAGACAACCATTCACTCGGTGACATCATCTGGGTTTTGGCAGGGGTACTACCCCTTATGCCTTGCCAGTCCCTCTCGGGTATACGTGAATGAGGGAAGGTTATGACCGTTTGGAAACGAATTTCATTTACATGACGACATTTCAGCTTTATGTGGTGGAAAATCCGAAACTATTCTGTTCTGAGATGTTGAAAGATTGGTAGAAACCACGAGAACGGGTATAGTACTGACCAACGATTACGTCATGAAATCATAGAGTAGGTCACTGAAGTTTGGATTCACCATGCTTTGTTTCAGATAGTGGTGAAAAAAGTCAATTTTCCGGAGACCTATACTTTCCATTATAACAACTGGGTTAATGGCATGGTTCGAATCCTTGCAAGTTCTGAGGTGAGCCTATTTCAATGACAAGCTGGTATATCTATGATTTAAACCTAACCTATATAGAAACAAGTGAGAAACAAACGAACCAATACAATAGCTTCGTTTTGGAAGTTACGCAGCGTTTTGACAGACATTTGCCTTTAGAGTTTGCTTGGAACTTCTGTATTGCATATATTTGTAGATACATTTGACCATATTTTCACTGCCTCTTAGAAATAACAACATTTATTGTTTCTTTTCAGTAACAGTACATACAAGTGACAGGACACCCTGTCACCTGTTCAGCAGCACAGATCGTCTGGAAATCTAATGTTTGTCAAATATTGATAAAATACAATGTACTGCTCCAGAAGAACTGTTTTCTGTTTTGATTTCGTTTACACAAAGAAACATCACTGAGACATTTGTGTATTTCGTATTTGTTTCTGTCTCAGACACTTGTATAACCTGGCTGCCGTACTTGGAAAATCTGAACATTACATAAAATCATCACAAGGAATCAAATGTTTCTTTAAAGAATATAATGTTCTCATGGAAACGAATAAGGGAACACATGAAAGTATAAATGTTCCTTTATTTATTTCCAGAATTTCACTCACAGTACCTTGTGAAGACACCTGGTAATTCAAATAGCAATTTCATGTAGCAATGAATTTAAACGTGATTCATTTTACAAAAGGTTTTACTCTGTTTATGAGTCCTATGGTGTTTATGTTTTGAAACATCACAACAAAACGCACCATCCGTAAAATACCCGTATTTAACAGCATGATTTTCAATTTCGGCGTGTAGTGTCACAGAATACACAATTCACATGCAATGCACGTGAACGTTAGGGATCAGATAGTCTCAATGATAGGTAAATAAGGTTGATCGCTGTCTGTCGAATATTCACTGTATTTGGAATATTGTTGACGAATGCAAAATGCCACGCCTAAGTGAAGCCAACCGTCATATCGCCATTGGTTTTGCTTGAAGCTGGCCAGTCTCAACGTGCAGTTGCCCGACGCATGAATGTTCACCAAAGCACCATTTCACGGCTCTGGGAGAGATATCGCCGGAAGAATGCGGTAGCAGATGCCCCTCGTAGTGGGCGACCTCGAGCAACCACAGCGGCGCAGGATCGCTACATCGGGGTACATCACCTGAGTCATCGAACAGCTACGGCGACCAGTACCGCTCGACAAATACCCGGATTGAGGGGCTTTCTGCACAGACCGTCAGGAACAGGTTGAGAATTCTGGTTTACGTGCCAGAAGACCTCATTTTGGCCCTGTGCTTCGACAGCAACATCGTCGACATCGAGTTCAATGGTGCACCAACGTTCAGGCCTGGAACCTACCGAATTGGCGTAGAATCTTGTTCAGTGATGAATCACGATTTCTATTGAAACCATGCTATGGATGAATGCGGGTGTACAGACGTCGACGTGAACGTTTCGCCGACGCTTGCGTTCCCAAGGTGGACAGATTCGACCGGAGCAGTGTTATGATGTGGGGAAAATCACCTGCTGTAGGAGAAGTGATTTTGGTGATGATCCAGGGCAACTTGACAGCTCAACGGTACTTTGACGAAATCCTACGCTCACACCTCCTTCCAAACATTGATCGCCAGAGGGAGTTGTTTCAACAGGACAATGCCAGGCCCCAAACAGCATGTCACACAAGAGACTTCCTCCAGAACCACAACATCAATGTGCTCCCCTGGCCCTCAAGATCACCGGACTTAAACCCAATCGAACATCTGTGGGATGCCCTGGACAGACGGGTGCGACGCCGTAACCCTCAGTCCCAGACACTTCAACAACTCGCACAGGCACTACAGGCAGAGTGGGTTGCGATTGGGCAACACGAGATTCTGAGATTTATTCGTTCGATGCCGAGGCGATGCCGTGCAGTTATGAATGCCCACGGTGGTCACACGAGGTATTGACTTCAGCGCCACCACACGTCTCCATGTGACACCTCAACCTGACTTTCTTCGAGTCGGTGCCAAAGACGGATAAGTCTGCATTCCCAGTGTGCAATTTCGCTATATTTCATTGACTCATAAAGCCTACAAGATGTTTCAAAATAAACATAAAATACAGTTGAAATTCCTATATGCGTTTCTTTATTGGGAGAGTATATTTTCATATAATGTTGGGAAATTGCCAGTCTATGTGCATAACGAGCAATTCTGAGAGTTCGACAGTCCAAATTATTATTTTAGTCTTTATACAGGCGGTATGCTCTTGACAAAGCATCTGCAATACACATCCCGTTTACTGGAAAGTGTTTCAACTTATATTTCTGCAATCCTATTCACTGAAATATTTGAGGAGCTGAAACTAATATTGTTTTCAGTATATATTCCAGTTGTGTATGATCTGCTTCTATTTCTATTTCTTGCCCACAAGTGTATCGATGAAATCTTTCCAAACCGAAAAATACTGCCCTAATATAAGGACCTACTCGTTGATTCTGAGTCACTAGCAATTGGTTTACCCCTCTTGCATCACTACTGCTCCTGTTTCTGACTTTGATGCAACATAGCTGATGTTTATTCGTTCATTGGCGTTGCGGACATTCAGCACTAACCCCTCCCTCTCTTGTCAATAGCCTGTTGATCTGTTCAAATGACTTTTATTGCGGATATGCCATGTTTGCATTCTCAGTTATTCATGGTTCTGCTCTGACAAATATACAACGAACTTGGCATGATAACACACTCACCATAACGTCTCAGAACACCATTCTAGTCAGTAGGCGTTGTCCTAGTTACTTCCACCACGTCTGGGTCGGGTTTACCTCAATCGGATGAAAGAATATGACCAATAATCTAGTAAATTCACCCACATAGTTTTTCTTCATTCAATATCAGGTGAATATCATTATATCGGATCATGCAAGTTCTAAGATTATCTGTATGTTATACCCCTAATCAAGATATAACCTATACATGTCACCACCCCTGCTAGACCACGAAAGGGTTCATCCGCTTGTGGGACACTGAGTGTGCCGATCTGATTCCAAATGGATGACTGTGTGGCGTGTCCGTCTTGCCCGACCCTAGCATGACGGTGTGGTGCGACATGGTTCGACGTTTTGGGTATCATGGTAAATCATCTGGTAAAGACAAGGACCAGTCTCGTGAAACTGAAGCAAGCACATTATTGGTTGTAGTGAGTGACTGTAGTTTTACGCCGCTTTTAGCAACGCCACGGCGGGGGGCACCAGAAATGGTCTTCATGCATTTATTGGTTTTAAAACATATAGATAGCCACCTGTTAACTTTGATGGACGAGTTATCACAAGGAGTCCAACAAAATATGATTAGTAATAATTATAATACAATGAAAGGTTATCATACGAGTGCGAAGAGTTGGGATAGCCTAATGGTTTAAGCGTTCGCTAGTAACGGGTTCGATTCACCACAAGGACATAAAGCCCATTCTGGTGTTTCCTGACGTGCTGTTGCTGGTGTATTGCTAAAAGCGTGTAATACCCAACTCACTCATACGACCACAGGTGACGTCAGAAATATATGTGGATTGTCACGTTTGAAATGTTATGTGCTGTTAATTGTCACCAGTTTTGAAGTATTCTGTTCTATCCTCTTCCAAACTAAAAATGACTGACTGATTGGAGTTTGGTTTTACGCCGCTTGTAGCAATATTCAGCAATAACGGCGGGGAACCAAATCTTAACCATAATGCCACATGTGGGGAATGGCCTTCGGCGTGACGAGGGATTTACCCACCGCCCCAAACACAACCAGGGTGGAAATTTAGTGGGGAGGTACCGGGACCGGTGTGGTGAGGATGCTACGTGTTGATATCCAAGTCGAAACAATAAGTTAACCCAGAAATCTGCAAGAGAATTCAGTGTGATATCAACGCAAAAAAAAAGAAAAATGATTTTCAATTAAATTTTACAATAAACTGTGTTAGGGTAAGGTCTAGCTTCTGGGTTTATTATCAATGCGAATACGAGCTTCTACTTCAGATCATGAGTATATCATTGACGTAACGATGCATAACTGTATTACTTTGGTATAGCTGGAATATTGCGGTATTGCTGGAATATTGCATTAATATTGCTGGAATAGTGCGTGCGGCGTTAAACAACAAACCAAACTAACTGAAATGAAGATGCCCCTAGTTCTCGGGTGTGTTGATGGAAGCAAACACGGCCAACGCTTTTACCACTAGGCTACCCCACCGCCCCCTTAACTCAAGGATCAGAAATAAAAATTCATTAGATCATCACAAATAATGTAACATAAGAAATACTAGGCCTTTAAAATCGTTTAATGTAGGCACAGTCGTGACCAACTCGTGTTATTTCGGGACAGGCCGAATGGAGGTTACGGAAAGTGGCGAGTGGTGACGAATGATGTAGGCAGTGAAAAGCAATTTCTTCTCGAGATCACATCTCTCTGAATTTCCCCTATTGTTTCAATAGATTTCAAGTACCTCTTTTGGGGTGAGGTTAGGTGGAATGAGGTCTGACCTCTCATTCGAGATTTTTTCAATGATACAGAGACATGCAGGTGTGCGTAGTAGCAGCAGCAGTAGTAGTAGTCGGTTTAAAAGTTTAGAAAATCTAGCCAATCACTGGCGTATGTTTATAAATTGAACCAAACAAATCCCATTATGCTTTCAATCTCGCCCAATCACTGCCATATTAACTGCCCAAAGCTACGAATATAGTTTTTTAACACAAACCATTTTGACAGGTAATTGAAAGTTTTTTCAGCAGAATTCGATTTCGACTTACCCAAACCTCAGTTCATATTTACTGCGAATATCAGGCAATCGATCCCGGCCATCTGTCCCAGATTGGAAGATAATCAGCTGTGTAACAATGTCACGAACTAACTTGGTCGCCCACAGAGTCTGCTTATGGCTTGGTCGGAAACGTACAGTGGGAATTGGTTTGTGTTTCCTTGCTTTAATTTATGATTATATAATTACTGTTAATTAGCATGTGTTAAGTAAATCTGGCACCGTGACACACATTGACCCATGGCCCTGAAGGTGGCGAGCGCACACCTTAACCACTGTGCTACCTTTCCAAGACCTCATGGAGTAGCTTGTACAACACGAATGATGACACCCTCCCCCCACAAACAAAAATAACAAAAATAAAAATAAATAAATAAATAAAAATAATTTTAATAAATAAATAAATAAATAAATAAATAAATAAATAAATAAATAAAAACAAATAATACCCCTCCACACACACACCCACACACACACACACACACGCACACACACGAATCGAATCCCAGATTCACCATGAACCTATTCAGGGTTTCAACAGAGTGATATATGTCGGAGCGCTAATGTCTTACAGTGGTGCCATGCTTGTGTTCCTGCTGCGGGGCGATGGGGTAGCCTAGTTCGACAACCCACATGGGTACAATGTGTATATCCCCTTCTGGTGTCCCCCACCATGATATAGCTGGAATATTGCTAAAGGTGGCGTACAACTAAACTCACTCACTTACTCACTGTACCTGCTGCACGACCTTGTATTTTCGTTTGTCTATCTCACAGTCCCTGAACCATATCATTTTGCCTTCTGCCTAACCCTTTCTGCAATGCTAAGGCCTTAAATGAAGCAAGTATATAATTCCTCAGGTTTTGAATCCACCTGGGGTTCCTTTTCAGTTTGAAAGGATTTTTCTGTTTTTTATATATCAAAATTATATATATTCAGAGACTGAGCGTTAGTCTGTAGATTGATATGCGTACGAGAATTATAGTCAGAGCTTCCCATGCTACTGAGAACAATCTCCATGAATGCCCCTTTTCTGAAAAACGAACACATACAAGACAATCCCATTCTCTGATGACCCAAGCGGACAAGGTGAGGACATGGTGACGCAGCTAGGTGTTAATGGCCTACAAAAAATTGTCATTTTTTCCCCTAAATTCCTTGTCACAAGTGCATTCAAAGTGGATTTGTCAAGCGGCGGTGATCAAAGAAACTGTGTAAACCATCAGACTGCACTTAGGAAGTACTTTTTATGACAGCGACAAAACCCTTCCACATCCACTGGTATTTGTCGATTGTACAATACCCACTATATCGTGAACATCTGTTTATGAATCACTATCAGAGAGGGATGACACAAGGTGCTCGTGCTGTGATTAATTTAGAAACAGGGAATTGTATACAAAAATCCAAATGTCTACCAAAAAGGTGTTTTTAAAGCTTAACTAATGCCTTGGATGTGGTCACCTTGATCGAACAACTCCTGAACAAGAGTAGTATGTCGCCTTAAAACCTTGATTCACTCCTCATGTCATACGTCCCAGTGGTTAAAGCGTCCATTCGTCACGCTGAAGACCCTGGTTCGACTCCCCATATGGGTACAATGGGTACAGTGTCCGGTGTCCCACGCCGTGATATTGCTGGAATATTGCTAAAGGCGGCGTAAAACCATACACACTCACTGATATAGCGTTGTGAAGAGTCTGCTGTGTCACTCCCAATATATCCAAACCCGCTCAGGGCCTAAATATGAAACACGCGAGTCTGTCTCACCTGTCTCCTTTGTTTCAAGTATTAGGGGGTAAATCAGAGGAAAGATATAATTGATGATTATTGATTTATCAGATCCTCGATATTCAAGTTAGCATCTTCGCCTTAGGGCCAAGGATTGCCTTATTTGGATTTTGCCCACCCAGACAGAAATTCTGATTCACGACCATAACGAAACAGATCCATTGGTGTCCATGGAGACGCCAACTTCTTGTCTAAATGTTCTATCCCCATACTTTTCAAGTCTAGTCAAGAGTTTGACACCCTGAAGTCCCGGTAAACTTCAGTCACATCTCCGCAAGGTCTGAAGAAAGATACCTAAGGATATCTATGATCATCACGTTTATTAAAATACCCCTGAAGTTTTGCCTTACATTTGCTATGTGGGGTAGTGGTGTATAAAGTACATAGATAATACAAGGATAACAACTGAGTATTTATTATCAGTGGTTAACGCCGTTGGGTACAGTTGTATCAAAATGTTATCATTTATACGACGACGTGACGCCCATTAGATAGCAGCATACTCTTGCATTTCAAATTAACAGAATCACACGATTCAAAAAACAAGGACATTTGGTCAAGAAGTTGAACTTAAGCCTCATTCAATAACCATCAAATAGCCAATTCCCTCGAATCTTTGAAGCGCACAGGTATCATAGTTATATTTGTATATCCGAAGCCAGCTTTTTCTGTGAACTTAATTAAAACAGAACGCAGCTCTTCTGGACCAGTGCATTGTATTTGTAACAGTATTTGACAAATATCAGTTTCCCAAACTGAGCATGACCGATCTGCATGCTGGTCTCGTCATCATGGCAATCATGCACTGTTACTGAAAAGGAATAATAGAATGCAAATACTGCGCTGCTTAATTACAAAATGTCTTTGTGCTTTTGTTCATCAAAGATTCTTGTCTATATTAGCATTAACGGTAGTTATAACAGGGTTTCTTTTGTAGAAAGTGAATGCCATTGTGAAATATTTGCGTCAGGAGATGCTTTCGGTCTTACAGCCCTTTTTGGTATGATCCTATCTTTAATGTCGGTTTTATGTAACAAATATATACCGAGCAGAGCATGGAATGGTTAATACATTGAATAAAGGCTCACCTCAGAACTTGGAAAGATTCGAACGGTGCCATTTAGCCAGTTGTTATGATGGAAAGTATAGGTCTCCAGCAAATTCGCCTTATTTACCACAATCTGAAACACAGCATGGTGAATCCAAACGTCAGTGACCTCCTATTCAGAGGAGAGGTATGATTTCATGACGTAATCGTTGGTCAGTACTAGACCTGTTCTAGTGGTTTCTACCAATCTTGTAACATCTGAGAAATGTGTAGTTCTGGATTTCCCACCACATAAAAGCTGACACGTCGTCATGTAAGTGAAATACGTTTCCAAACGGTCATAACCTTCCCTCATTCACATACAACCGAGAGGAGCTGGCAAGGCATGAATGATAGTTACCTTGCCCAAACCCAGATGATGTCACCGAGTGAATGCTGTCCCCAACACGTGTCACATATCCCTATCAAACGTCTAGTAGTGTAATGCTGCGGGGCAAGGCTTTGATGAGAGGAGTCGTCAATAGGTCCTTACCATTCATGTTTGACAACCGTACAAGAATCTGTATCGAAACGTCGCACTCACGAATAAAAGACGTTGTTATCCATAAAGTCTGTTCTCTGTAAGGTCCTTACCTTGTCCAGGAACCAGGCGTTTTGCTCACTGCAGTTGACTTTAATCTCTGTCAAAGTGCCCAGTGGCGTCAGTGCTAGAAGAAAGGAGTCAACTCTGAAAACACAATCGTCACAAATCAACATATATACTGAAAGCCATTTAACGCGGACTTATTACTGAAGCGTTAATTTGCGTTCAACACAGAACACGCATACCACATAGATTACAAGTAGGTGTGTGCTGGTGTCCTGAAGGTGGACATACTGTTGGATTCGTAGATAAGTGAAAATATAACCTATTGTTGTGAACAGCCTGACAGTTATCGTACAAATACCATATGTACACCGCTCATCGTCTTGGAAGATTAGCATTATTAAAGCTGCCAAAAGTTTGCTAATAGGTAAGATTAGATTATCAGATTTCTTAAAAATATTTAAAAAATCGCAGTCGTTTATTTCTTCCACCTACTTTTACTTCGGTTATGTTCACAATTTCCAAGCCACAATTGCTTTCCACAATTTGATCCAGCTTCTTGAGAAACATCTTACTTGGTGATTCAGGATGATATTTTACCACATGAGTGATTGTACTCTCTGTAGCTCTATCCCGTGATCAACCACATTAGCATCGATCTACGTAACTGGGATACGATGACATGTGTCAACCAAGTCAACGAACCTGACCAACCGATCCCGCTAGTCGCCACTTACGACAAGCATGGGTTACTGAATACCAAGGAAGAGGTAGGTATAAAGACGTACTCGTGTTTAAACATTAACAAAATACTTTCTGAAAACTCAGCAGTTACAGGTTTCGAGTAGGTTTAGTGACACATATACATTTATTGCCATGTCCATGTCATGTGTTGAACATGATAAAATCTGCTTCAACATCTCAGTGTGGGAAGTCAGCGGGCAGCGTAAACAACCAGGAACATCAAGTCATTGACAACTCTAAAGAGGTTGAGGGGATAAAATGTCTAACCTAGAGGTCACCCTGAACGTCGATTGCGTTGGTAAACTGGCATACTATAAATAATTTGAGCAGCAACATACTCCGTCTCTATCTAAAGTTGTAAGCTGCACGCTGTGTTAAACACACCTGAATCTTCATGAACTGAACGTCAAACATATTCAAACATGGAAATATGGAAAATATACATTGACACATTGGAATATGGAACGTATAGTTGTGCATATGCCTACTCGTGTAGGACCATAAAGTAATACACACACAGTCGTACAAGAAACTAACTATACTGTCCCCGATTTCTTGAAACAAACAGTCTGAGGTTTTGACTTAAGTCAGAGTTTTTACTCAAATTTGAGAAAACACAGGAAAATGTGTTTCCCAGAAAAAAACTGAAATCAATATTAAACTCAAACATAGTAGACAATTTGAGTTTGGTGGATAGATTACTTAAGTTGTTTCGCATTTTTCTATTTAAAAAATGCAGTTGAGTTAAAAATTCAGCTGTTTCAAATTGTCAAACTCAGTTTGAAATTTGAGTAAAAACTTAAGTTTGTTTCGAGAAATCGGGGCCTGTTCTCCACATACCGCGATGTGCATGAACGGATTGTCAGGGACACACACTACACAGTAGAGCATGTTGTATGTCGACATTGTGTTGGCAATAATCGTATCCAGTAACTTGCATACTGAACTTACGATCCTCTCTCGAAATCGTCCCGTGCACTGTCGGGGTACTGTTCCTTGGACGCACCCTGCTCCCCAATCAGTTGTACCATGACATATTCATCCGTCCCGGCTCCATGGACATCCCCAGTATACACCGTCATATTGTAGACTCCCCCTGGGCAACACTAACACATGTTAAAATCTGGCTTTTCTTTTTCGCGAACACCGGGTGTCATCACTGATGTTCATTGATCATTGTATATCATTTCCATTATTATTTTACCGTTTACGGTATATGCAATATGTTTGTGTAGATATAAGGGACTGGCTATTCAAGAACAGCCATTTAGAAATTGGTCAGATATAACATTTATTTGGGATTACACTTTCTCAGTAAAGTACAGATTTAACTACTAATATTGAGTCCCATCCGGGAATCGACGAGAGTGGGTACCACTTTACTGAAACAGTGTAATCCCAAATATAACATATACAAGCGAGTCCGGTAATTCCTGCAATTGCGTACTTCCGTATCAAAGGATAAACATCGCCTGTTACCACATTTACGCTTGAAATCCGGACATTTCTACAAAGGACTGGCTTTAATCACTAAAGGCTAGTAAATAACAGTAATTGACAGATAAATTGACAGTTTTATGAAAATTAGTTTCCTTCAGAATTTTAAACCTTAAATTGATTAAGTGATTTTTGAAAATAATCTGGCCCTAATACGCTTCCATACTTCGGATGTTATGGCCATCAGCTGCTGCGCAGAATTAACGGACAGCAAGCAATGTCGTCAGAACGACGGTAGGGTCAACCGTATCGCATAATGCAACGTTAGAATCTTATAGTCGTCAATAAAACTCAATTTCTAGGTAAATATGATGCATACCATCATGTTTAGTCACGTAAACCACAAAAAAATAAGAGACGTTAGTTGCCGTGTTGCGATCGATGTGCTTGGGTGCGCGGTATTACCGGACGGTATTGTATTACTACTCCCGGACGTTGATGCTTTAAAGCTGAGATCAATATCCCTTTCCAAAAGCTAAGAACAACCCTTTATTTAGTTCTAATACATTCTGCTCTTCCATGTATCCTATGTAAATGCCTCGTCTCTAAGATACATTGATCTCATCTTTATTATACTCTTCAAACAGTTTTATGATAGAATGGTCAAAATTGTAAGGAAGTGATAGTTTTCTAGTAACAGTTGTAGGTTAAAATGTATGCATTGGGGACACATTAAAACACTTGTGAAATATGACAGTAGATGTTATTACCCTCAAACAATTTCAAAGTTGACGTGTTTCGGTTGGTAGTGTGACATATGGCAGTAGAAAATTGTCACTCCATTATTTACAACATGTCTTACACACCGTTACCATTTGCTGACCATGTTTCCATATCTAGCCCAACAATTCCAGAACTAAATGACATCCTACAAATTATCATCCTGGAAGCCTTGCCATTTTGGCTCCGGAGGTCTAACACATTTTAGGAAGAAATTCGGAAAATAGGAACCTGAGTTTTCATCCATTGTGTTACCTGCCACATCAGGAATACGTTTCTTATTCTCTTCCACCATTGATTTTATGCGTGACACATCATCTGTAAAGACGTATATGTTAACATTGACATTATGCAGGATAAATTACAAGTAATTGCTTACGACTAACATTGCCTTCTTGGGAAACCTTCGAGGAAAACGTGTTTGACTGGCCTTGCTTTTATGCGTGACACTACGTCTGTAAAAAACACGTCTGTAAAAAACGTCATTTAGAAACTGGTGAAATGTAATATACATGCATGTCATTTTTGTGGATTACATTTTCTCAGTAAAGTACAGATTCTGTTACTTTTGTTAGGCTGAGTCCCTTCCGGAATTCGAATCCACACCCCTCAGAGTCAGGCACCTAATGGCCAGTAATCGATCAAACCCACTTAGATTCCGTGTGCTAGCGATGAGATGCGTTTCACGTTTATCAGGAAAAGAAGAGATTCCTACTAACTCGAACGACGCAATATTACAATATCGCTGGGCTTTGACACTGAATATGAAAGTGCAAAACAGATATGAGACACGTTAAGCACCTTGTGTGACCCACGAAAGTAGAAAATTGTCACTCTATTATTCACAACATGTCTTACACACCGTTACTATTTGCTGACAATGTTGCCATATCCAGCCCAACAATTCCAAAACACTAGCCTGTCAACCTATGTGTTGGGACTGCATTTTTTTTTGCTATTCGTTTCAGCGTAAAGGTGTTTACATGGACCTTCACGTTTCTCCGTGACTTAACAGGTACCTATTTTTAATGTCACGAAACTATATAACTATATAACTATATAACTATATAACTATCATTACTTTGTGTATGATTGTTTGATCAACTCATTCGAAGCGTGGTTTCCTAGAAGCGGAAGACCGGGTTTCCTGATGCGGGTCTCTGACACTGTGGTAAGGAACATTGTCCATCACAACCAGACACTTCTCTGGCAGGGCAGGTACAGCTGTTATGTTGCATACTCCGTGAAGACAGAAGCGTTCATCTCTGTGTGGTAGTCTGTTGACTTTGACCTGAACACAAGATCACATCCAGGTAAAAAACCTAAATGTGATCCCACATAGACAATAATAAGTCTTTCCCCTTTCCCTGGTGGTATCTTTCTGTTTTGACCAGAGTCAGAGAGCTGTCACTGGTATGATGATGTGTGATCAGCATGAATCCATGTTTCATCGAGGTATATAACTTCACAACCTTCTGCTCGTTTTTCTGCAATTGTACGTAAATAGTTTGTTCTCATTGTACAAGGTCACATCTTTCACAAAGTGACAGTTTTGTACTAGATAAACGCTTGTATCTGAACCCAAACGTCACTAATAGGTTACATATTGTGTATCTAGAGAGGGGGATATGTTCGCCCTGAAGAATCTTCTTACGTTTTCGTGAAGACACATGTTCATTTCTCTCAGATAGATTAAAATTATCCAACACATGTGAACTTTTGGGTTTTGAGACGGACCCCAGGTTCTTCGGATCCATTGATGAACTCTATGCTATACAATGTTGTACGTGGTATGTCCAAAGACTTCAACGCTCTGTCTGTAGGTTGTTTTCTTGATAATAAGGGAACATCCCTTTCAGCCTTTTTAGTCAAGGTCTTTGCGTCGTGGGACAACAAGCTTACGTCACCTGTCAGACATTACATCAATTGAACCCACACCCGGAATGAGTTGATCAAAACAATCACGAAAACATAATGATAGGTACGTTATATAGGTAACCGTTTTTATAGGCGGTCACCTTGACATTAAAAATAGGTTAATGTTAAATCACGAAGAAACATGAAGGTACATGTAAACACTTTTACATTGAAACGAATAACAATAATGATATTTGCAAAAAATGCAGACCAAAAAGTTAGGTTCACAGACTATGAATGGCATCATACAATTATTATCCTGGAGACCTTGACATTTTTGCCTCCGAAGGTTTTACTCATTTTAGGAAGAAATTCGGACTTTTGATCCGGTGTGTTACCTGCAATCTCAGGAATACGTTTCTGATTCTCTTCCACCATTGATTGTATCCGTGACACATCCTCTGTAAAGACGTATATATTAGCACTGACATTATGCAGGATAAGCCATTATGCAGGATAAGTAACGCGCGCGCGCGCGAGTGTGTGTGTGTGTGTTGCTTTTACGCGTGACAGTAACTTGCAAAAAGACTCGTTATTAACACTGACTTTATGTGTGACACGTAATGTATAATTACATAAAGTAATATGGAAAATTAATGTGTAATTAATATTGCCATATTTTGTGTAATAACACAGCAAATTTTATTGACCAAGCCGGAAACTGACAATAATCCCAGATTTAGACCTTTCCAATGCAGGCGTGTCTCAGGGATCAGTTTCAGGAGGACTACTTTAGTTTTCAGTATGTGTTAATTTTTCGCTGAGTGGTGAAAGCAAGTTTCCTCTTTTTCAGAACTGAACATTTATTACCACCACCACTAACTTCTGGAACAATTTACCGTCAAATCTGATCAACGCAGTTTGACATAAAGGATCTTTTAGATAAATTCTCAATATAGATGTTAATTATAACTTGAACTACCGATCGAGAATGTGTCAAATCTATCACTAAAACTAGGATGAATTGGCATAAATGCTTGTGAGTGACATGGACATGTAACAGACATATCTTTAAAGACCAATCTTGTTCCTGTGGGGAAACTACTCACTATTTCGTCACACCTCCAAAATATAGGACCATAAGATACAGCCTCAGTTCTATACTCTATCCTGACAAATCGCAAAGCTAAACCAAACAATTTCAGCATCCATTCATGATTATATGAAACAGACAACTACTTCTAACTGATGACTACACTGTTTATACACATCAGCCTATTACCTGACAAACTACCATCATACCATTGGTAATGCCAACACCCTATTGCCATCTTGATTGTATTTTCATTTTTGATTGATCTATTGCTGGAGCAATCTTTACATTCATCATCCAATACTGTGTTCCACCGGAGATATTGCTTGTGTGAGATCAAACGATATCTCCTAGGAGATAGCGTCTTGACAGGAGATTTTTTACAATGCCCTGACAATGCTATGACGTCATGAACTTGATGACGTCACAATGCTATGTCATCGCTGCACTGCAAGTCTAGCAGCAGTACCGTGTTCAGAGACATACATTTTTCATTGAAATTTAAATTAAGGGTGTGTTTCTATAATAAATAGAATCTCACCCTCGTGTCTTCTGATATCAAATATAAACTCTGTCAAAAAAGAAACGCAACCCCTGTCCTCAGATATGAAAAATTCGTTTGAATGAAGTTATTGCTTCCAAACTAAATGTTATTCGAATGTATTGAAATTATACACGTAATTAATGAAGATTACCATCCAAACAACTGCATTTGTACGCATAAGTGTATTTTATTGCTTATTCCGTCACAACGCATGAAATGACCCTCATGGTGACTTCGCACAAAAAAAAAACACATGCAAATCATGAAAATGGCAGTTAATGTAGGGGTGTATAAAAGCCCATG